GCAACAACCATTTCTTTATAGAAGAACATAATTTTAAATAAAAATACTCTCCTCAGAACAAGAACATGACTTTTACTAGGATTGTACGTGAGGGTTTGATTATATCTTTATTGATATAATATCTAATTGTAGTACTAAAAAACTATTATTTTTTCCATAAAGGGTAGCACTTTTAATATATAGAAACATTATAGCTTATATTAATAAAATTTTCATGTGACTAAAGAAGCACTTACCATCAGTACTTCCCAGAAAAAAATACTTTCTTAGAAAATATTCGATTTTTCACAATGAGATATGAATACTATGATTACTAATTATTAGCACAAAACCACCCGCAGGTTTTTATTTCTGCTAGTGTTTGAAATTATCTATGAAATAAACCCTTCTTAGTTGTGTATAATTCTCATAATTATAATAAAAATAAAAAAAGATACAGAATTGTGCAGAATGCTGTTCCATAACCATAAAATTTAACTCTGCACTACTTACATTAATTAAATGGATACCAAAATTCTTCAGTACATACCATCTTTCATGCTCAATAAAGCTGCTGCTGATTCACCTGGAGACCAAAAAAAAGTATCTGTCATTTAAAAATCACATTAACTCACCTGTACCTACTATGTCAACCACGTGCGATACAGGTTCAGAAGACATGAAAGGTTATTCAGCCTATTGATGTAAACCCTAGGCCAAAAAATAAAATAGAATTTTTCTTCTTTTCTCATTAATTTTATTTATGGAGTCCATTGTTTTTTCAATCAAACTGAATCCTTTTCACTTGTGGAATAGCTCAGGAGTCAATGCTTGGGACATTGCTCTTAGAGATCTTACCCTGTCTCTCTAAGATAACTCTTCCATTCCCAGAATCATCCTAGTAGCCCTTCTCTAAACCCTTTCCAATAAGTCTTTATGTCAATATCCTTTCCTAGATAAGGAAACTAAAACTGCACACAGTATTCCAAGTGAAACCTAACTAGTGATTTGTTTAGTGATAAATAGCTATATTAGTTTGTAATTAATGTGCCTATAAATAAACTCTAAAATCTTATTAGTTTTACTACTGGAAAGAGAGCACTGTTTCGATGACTTAAGCGACTTATCCACCATTATGCCAAGGTTAATTTCTTCAATCAAGCTATTGAGTTGATTCCCCTCTGTATTAAAAGTGTGATCCAAAGTATGATAACCCAAATACATTGCCTTTCACCTACTGGAATCAAATGTCATTTGCAAAATTTTATATGTCCAACTTGCCAATTTATTCAAGTCATTCTGTAGGATTGACAACCTGAGTGCAGCAAAAAAATACCCAAGAGATTAATGCCATCACCGACCATTTTTAAGGTAGTAATTATATGTTTAACAGTATCATTAATGTAATTTCTGATTCCCAGGATAATTTTGTAAACTTCAATAGGATTACCTATTAAACTTCTTTCCTCAAGAAAAAATATGTTTTTGTTGTTAGTTATTAGTTGTGGAATGGTTTCTCTAATTATATGGAAGGTACAGTTTGATTTATTCTAAAATTTCATTGGACGGGTATATGGATGTAAACGGCAAAGGGCTACGTAACATATCCTATGGACAACAAGGGACCATTATTTGCATACTAATTCTTCGATACAGTTAAAATCAAGAAACCCTCTGTTTCAGTAAATAATAAAAAAACTGTGGTAAAGTACTGACCTCCACTACTGCTAATGGGAACTCATTCTATAAGTTTGTCACCCTGTTAGAAAAATAAAATTGTCTTACCTGAAGCCCAGGCTGTCTTTTGACAGATCTTAAACCTATGTTGTCCTATTATCGTCAAAATACAGCAAAATTAACTGTAGGTCTTGATCCACTATTATCTCAACAATAAATATACCTCTAGAATTTTAAAGTTTAAACCTACTATCTTAACATTAAAAACTACTTCCTAAAATTGAGGATTATACTACCCTTATATTACATTCTATCTTTCAGACAAGCAACTCACATAAAAACTATTTATAAACTTAAAACACTTAACACTTCAATAAAATTTTCCTGGTTTCTTCTATGATAACAGATCCAAATTCTCTGAACTTGTACTCTCAGTTTAAATTACCTAACAGTGTAATATTTTCATCTCATACCTCTGCATATTTTACAATATATGCATGTTTTCATCTTCCTGTAGTAATGGGGTTAAAATCACACATATACTCCCAATGAGGTTAAACCAGTGTTGTACATAGATATAATGATCTTTTTTCACCACAGCTAAGGAAAACAAATGATTTTTCAACAGTCAAACTTAAAATATTTTTTTCTCTCAACACCAAACTTCTTCTCACACACACAAAAAAAGTTATTTTGAATTTTCATACCACATATGCTTAACTTTACACTTCTAAATGTTTTACATTCTTGTATGTTTGTAAGAATATCCAGATCCTTTTGAATTATTAGAATAATTATCACAGAATTAACATCTTGCCATTGTCATCCTTGATGGACCTCACTAGTTATATTTTGCTATAGTCATCCTTGAGGGACAACACTAGTTCTATTATAGACTTAGGAAATAACAGGTCAGGTTCTAGTTAAAAAGGGTTTTCATATTCTAACGCGGTGACTGTCTTAAGGAATTATTGCCAGCAGCATTAGTGGAGGATGACACTTCACTATAGTTTAAAATGGGAATTGATAATTTCCTGAAAAATAATGGATGGATTTAAGTTTATACTTTCTTCTTAAAAGTGTTTGTGCAGGATCAACCATAAAGCATGGAACTGTCTCTTGTTGTCATAACATTAAAATAAGGATCTTAGTAGAGTGATAAATAATTTACTCAAGCCATAAATGTAGCACTTTATTACTAAAAGTAAAACTAATATAATTATAAAATGTTTTCATAGATTTTGATAACAATTCAAAGGAGTTAATTTCTTCTTTATACAAATCACTTGTAAGGTCTCACTTGGAATATACTGTAGAGTTCTGGCTTCTTTATTTAAGGAAAAATATTGATTTTTTGGAAAGGGCTCTGATGAAGACTATTAGGATGGCTTGTTATCTAGTCAATCAATATATACAAAACAATGCATCTATCCACTGAAGTATCTACATATATTTTGATCTTGTACACACCTACTTCAAACTGGTTTTATGCTACTTTAACTAAACAGTTAAATGGTAGACATCATAATTTTTGTTTTTAACAACTAATATGACGTAGTTGGTAAGATTAGAATTAATAAAAATTGTTATTTATCTATCCATTAACACAAGTTTACTTTTACAAAATGGGAATTTCTTTTGTCTCAAATTTGTAAAAAACATTGCCACCATTTGGTATTGGAGTTACATTTTTGTCTTAGAGAAGACTGAGGTAAAATTCTATATATACAAAAACAGTAATCCTGTTTTCACATTACAAACGAGTTACCCAAGGATTCTTTAAAATTAGGGTTTAAATAAATGAGCAAAAGTTCATAAAAGTCTGTGATAGGTCTAATCTAGAACTTAATTAAAAAAAATTAAATTAATGGACAAGAGAAAAATGAAATTCTGTTACAACAAACCTGTAATATGTAATATCCTAAGATATTTTGAAGTTATTCCAACTTAACCTAGTAATGCTAATAATTAGCATTAGACATTCAAATGGGTCATGATGGCATTGATATGTTTGACTGCAGCCTAGGTACTTTAATTTACAACCTAAGTTACATTCCTTTACTTACTGTTATGGTTATAGATGGATGATTTACTGATTTGAGCAGCAATAACATTGATTAGTGTGATGTAAAGCAAGCAACTAATCAAAATTAGGGTTTCTGATTATTACTATTTTTGAATAATTAAACTTTCCAAATAATCGATATATTGCTATCAAACTTGCTCACCTTCAGTAATGACTTTATAATAAAAAAGATATTTTTTAACTGATGACTATAAGGAAAACTTGCTGAAAGAGATGCCTGACAATTTTTTATTTTTACATGAAGATAAGAAGATTTCAAGAACATTGTATTAATTGATTAATAACGCCATCAATTAATCAATTAGCAAATAACATTATCACCTAGCTCTAGCTACGGTATTATTTTCACTTCAACTATAAGTCGTAATTATTATGGTAATACTATAACTTTTGTTTTTGTTTGTTTAAGTTAAGCACAATGCTACATAATGAAAACTATTAGTATTACTAATACTATTTCAAGTTCTAATAATAATTTAATATTACTATTAGTATAAATTAAATAACTTCACCTTAGCATTGTTAATGACTTAGTCATTACAATTACCGACTACTCTTAGTAGCACTTCAGACAGGGTAACACAGGGGAGTATCAGTGCCAACATTACCTAGGACACAGTATCCTACTCCTAGGATTATCAGTATCACTCACACCCATCATATGTTACTGTAAGTATGTAACACACTATACAAGAATAACATTAAAACGATATTCATTATTGCTTTATATCACAAAATTAGCTTAGATGGGAAAAGAAGGCTAAAATATATTTATTTATGTTTAAAACTGCTTTAAAAGAGTATAAAATGAATAGATCATTATTTGCTAAATTCCTTACATTCAAGCGAGTCCGCCATAACGTCCTATGTAGTTTAACAACCCCAATACTATGCGCCGTCTACCGTTGGATATTGAAAAAAAAAGTTTAATATTAAAAGAAAACTTCTTTTCAGAAGAGAATGTTTAATTACAATTTATTCAACTAACACATAAAAAATCACAAAAATACGTTAATTAATAATGAAGGTACGTGAGATGAAATAGCACTGTTTCAAGCAAAGCGGACGTTATTATTATTATAATATTTTTTAAATATTAAGTATAATTGGTTATAGAATAGCCTCTGAATAAGAAAGTTCTGCGTATATTTTCAGATATACCATGTTCATACCAGAATTATATATTTACTAGCCACTTCCTACAAATGTTGTGTTACTTGAATTACAGTATGGATGTATCAGTATTGTTTTATTTGATTTAAATACGATTTTTAATATTGTTCTCTGGAATATATTTTAAAATTACTTGAACGCCTAAAAGTTAAAACTAGTCTTATAAATCAATAAGCGTCCAATTTACCTGGTTTGTAAATATTTACAACTTATGTCATTATAGCAAATTGTATAATATTGTTACGTTTCCGTTTGTTAATTAACTTTCCGTAACGTCGTTCCGACGAAACTTTAGCGACACAAGTCCTTACTTAATAAAACTGGTTTATTCGTTCTGAATATAACTTCACGATACACTTGATTTCAACATTCGCGTTAAAACAAACGCTATAACGAACGTTAACTTCAACAATACTTTCTCACTGCAGATCAATTACTCACTACGTATACTCACATTATTCCGTCACGTTGTCACCCTCTTATATATATACCAGTCTACCCTATATCTAGTAATCTCCCGAGTATTCCCGAAGGTTCGAGAGGTGGTGTGACACTAGTCACGTGAACTCGCTGACGCAACAATATTTAATATGAAAATAAGATAATTAAAGAAAAATTATGTTCTCAAATCAGAATCGTGAAGGTAAGTACTAGGCTAGAAAAAGAAAACAATTTACCATCCAAACTGCATCTCTAGAAAGTGAACCTTCTAGGCGATGTACGGACTCCCCACTCTACTACCTAACGTGTATGTACAAAGGCTAAATTTTCTCAGTTCCAACTCTTTTGTATTCTATGGTGCTTTAAAATAAGTAGATTTATTATTTTGTTATGTTACAAGTTCCAGAGGAAGTGAAATAGTGAGAAAATGAATATTATTGAGAAAATTAACTATATAGATATTAAGATAAAAATAAGTAACCCAATAACCTGAGCGCTATCTAAAGGTGAGTGAGAATAGCATTAATTCATGGGTGTGATGTGGTAGCACTTAATGTGAAATGTCTTCTCTAAATCTTAGTATTTCACATTGACAAAATTTTGATAAAATTACATTATTACTAATTTAAACTGGTATGAATTACGCTTATTTCCATTATTTGAATATATATACTGATGTGTGTGTGTGTGAGTGAAAGTAGTTAATGTACAAGAATGTTAGACAGAAAATTAGGATAACGAAAGTTTATGACATAGTTGTCAGGCGATTTTAGTGTTGCTGACATTCAAACGAAGTTTGTTAATTTTGTTCTTTTATCTTTTAAATTGACGGAAGAGTGTTTTAGAAACATTTGAAGGGTTTAATTCTGTGGGAAATATAAGTAATTTGTCCCTCATAATTAGTGGATTTCATTACATATGTTTCTAAAGATCAGATAACTACGTGTTTTGTTAGTAGTTTATCAAGACGCAAGAAGTAAATATAACATGTTGGTCAGTAAATTTCCAGATGTTATTGTTGTTACAAACAATATATACAAAAATTTAGTGATTTGATATTAAACAATGACATAAAAGAAGATTAACAAAAACAATATTTTACAATGACTAGACGATTCTACTACACCCACTGTAACTCTTATCTGTAAAAAACAAAAACAAAATATGAACAGAATCTAGAAAAAAAATCTCAGTTCATTCAAGTTAGAAACAGAGGAACTGAGGTAGTTCAAGCTACGATGATTAAGGTTTGAATCAATGACCACATCTACTCCACTAATTTAGTTAACCCACTAGCAACTGCTAATAAAGGCATTTCTAAACAACTCAAACTGTGACAGAACAAATCAACACACCATAAAGTGATAAAACAGACATGCATGCAACTTTGCTTATCTTAAAACTTTTATAGTTGGAAATAAACCAACCTTATACATTCATCAAGAACAGTGTCGGCCTTAGGGTTTTTGCTACTCTAGGCAAAATATGAAAATGTGCTATTGGGTTAATGTAGGTTAACGCTAGCTAAATGACACGGTACTAAAAATAAAGTGTGCATTTATTACTGAGTGCAAAACAAATGAGTTTATTTTAAAATTATACAATTTGAGAAGAAAAAGATGTTTTTATTTTCGACTAGTTACTCCATTGCATGAATTAGGGTCGCTTCTAGGGACAATGTTTTAAGTTCATCACAGAGCTCCAGCGCATTATTATCTCTCAGTAAAGGTCCCTGCAATGATCTTTGATGTCATCTGAGCTTCAATGTTTATATATCGATATATCACAATGATATAGACACATATATAGGTCACTGTGCTGTTGTAGTTGAACGAATCTTTCTTGCAGAGTCTGAATAAATGGTTTCAACAACGGAACAATAAATTATTATTTTAAACTGTTGCACCAGATTTTGAACGTATTACCCATTCCCTCACCTTCAAATATAGATATTTGTTTTCGAAGACTTTCAGTTTGGAAACTTGTGTCAATCTCCACCTATCTGGTAGGTGCTTTTGCATCTGTCAGGGACCTTGCAAATCTCTTTTCAGGGCAAATATTTTTCTAGAGAAGATCTGATTTGTTTTTCAATAATAGGAATAGCAGACGACAAGTTTGAGCAACGGCTCTGTAATGCTTTATTCGCTATATTGTTCTGAAAGAGCATATCATGGCAAATCACCAGACAACACAAAAATCTGCAACTTCGGATTGTATCTGTGATGTTCTTATCTTTACACCTTGTTGTTGTTCCGTGGGCTTCAATCAGTGTCGTGTCTTCTATTATTACTAGGGTTACTGAAGCATTGTACACCTCTGTAACTCAATATCGAATAGCATGCACAGCTTCTAGTATAATTCCCATCGAATATTCAAGGGTAGCTCGACAGTTAGAATAGTTGCAAACTTCTTAAGAACATTCATTTATGTGTAGAATCAGAAAATAAAAAAAACACTTTGAACGTCAAGACAAAACATTAAAGCACCATTAACAACAATTAAAAAGAGTGAGTGAGCATATTCTGGCACATAAAATAATCTTGGATTTAATGCTAGAATCGTGTTTTTAACTCCACTATTCTTCTCTTTTATATTTACTTTTGTTACGACAGCGGAAGTCATGTGACGATGATAACACGTAATGAGATTATAGAAGAATCGGGGAACCTCACGAATATCCCAGTATTTGCTAGACGCAATCTATTTTTTTGTATATAAGCCGGCAAATAAAGCGGAGATAGAATAATTGCAGATAGAGAGATATAGAGACAGGTAATTGAGTCAAGTGAGCGGTAGTGACCGTAAATAAAGTGCGTGAATCGTTGTGAATTATAGCGTGTGTTTAAATTAAAGTGACTATGAACATTCTGTGTATTTCAAAGTTGTATTGAAAAAGAATAAACTACTTTTATTCAAGAAAGGACTTGTATCGCTGAAGTTCTTCGGAAAGAATTTTTACGGGAAATTAACAAACGAACAGAGACGTAACAAATTGGTGTCAGGAGTAGGATGGGAAAGAGAGAAAAAAGAAAGAAGAAGAAGATGGAAACGAGAGGTGGCAAATCAAACTACAGCAAAAGAAACAAGAAGAACGAGAAAATAACCAAGAAAAGAAACAAAAAGAGAGACAACAACAGTTGCAAGGAAACCTGCAACAGTGGCAGCTCGAACAGCAAAATAAACAAGAAGAGAGATTACAGCAGTTGTTGGAGAAAAAAGAAAAGAAACAAGAAAAACGATAAAAGAAACAAGAAGAGAGACTACAGCAGTGGTTGGAGGAGAAAGAAAATAAACAAGAAGAGAGATTGCAGCAGTGGTTGGAGGAGAAAGAAAATGAATATATATTGTTGATTCTTACACTCGAGAACTGTCTATAATTTTAGTGAATAAACGTGAATTTCGCAATACAGATTTAACAGTATAAGTTATGTATATTTCTACATATAACTTTAACTCAAACAAACATCGATATTAAAATAGATACAGGATAGTAAATCCGTCACACACTTCACAGGCTAAACTGTAGATAACATCAAATTCTTGTGTTTTGACTGTCGAGGTCTTAATCCTTGATATGATGTTGAATAAAGTCGATAATTTTGAAAATTACTTAAATGTCAAACTTCTTAATTATTTGACTTGGTTCTTTCATTCTTAGCATAAAAATGGGATCATCCTGTTTTCAACTATCTGGAGACTGATCATGTTTACAATTTGGGAAATTTGTTCTTGTTGGAATATCCGGTAGAGTAACCAGTTCGAAAGAACACGGTTTCTAACTTCAACGTGGATTTTACTGTTTCGATTATCCCCTTTTTTGTAACGTGCAGATGGAGTGATAACAGCTGAAACATCCTTTGCTATGATTCCATATACCGTTGCTGTGATTTTAAGTGAAAGTTTGTGTACTTACACAGTTTAGTGTTTACCTGAATTTCGATAAATATACTAAAATATACAAATCTCCTTAATTAAGTTGGCTAACAAATAAATTTTCCAAATTAGAAGAAAATTTAACGTTGAGGTAACTTCCCCTTTTTTTGTAAGAACGTTTCGGTCAGTTGTTGTTTAAAACACATAATTTTAACAAACAGCGATCCAAATGTTTTCTTCATATTGTTACGACAGCGGAAGTCATGTGACTCTGGTAACACGTAACGAGTATCTAGAAGGTTCCTGAGAGCTTGAATGTTTGCCAGACGCTCTCTATTTTGTATATATAAGACCGGCAAGAAGTGACGGCATAGATAATTGCAGACAGGCAGAGACAGAGATGGACAATTG